GGGGACGGACACGCGGCTGCGGCTGTGAGCCGAGCCCGACCTCCCAGGATCGCATCTGGAGAGCTCTCGGTGCTCTTCCAGCTTCGGAGGCGGGAGGGAGATCACGGCAGATGAATACCCATTCCCTCGCTAGTCTCCGGAGTGGCCAGCGAGCGGAAGATAGTCTGCTACACGGGCCGGACCTGGAGTAACGCGTCGGCTTTGCGTCGGGTTCCCTCTCTCATCCTGGTTCTGTTTATCCCAGGCACCATGCCTGCCCTCAGACCTCTCGTGAAACCTAAAATCGTCAAGAAGAGGACCAAGAAGTTCATCCGCCATCAGTCTGATCGCTATGTCAAGATCAAGGTAAAAAAATCACTGGAAATTAATTAGAAAAGGAATTGTGGGACTGTCAGACGTGGTTGCCTATGGGGTGATGGTGCAGTAAAGCACAAGGGGTCAGTGCTGAGACAGTGGGTCACGCTGTAACAGCCTGGCACGGCGGATCTCTTAGGAGATTAGTTTTGGCTAGAGCAGTCACTGCGATGCAGGCGTTTTCAGACTAGTCTCATTTCATAACTATTAAATATTTTTTGCATTTCTTCAGCGCAACTGGCGTAAACCGAGAGGTATTGATAACAGAGTGCGCCGGCGGTTCAAGGGTCAAATTCTGATGCCCAACATCGGCTATGGCAGCAATAAGAAGACAAAGCACATGCTGCCCACGGGGTTCAGGAAGTTCCTGGTCCACAACGTCAAAGAGCTGGAGGTGCTCATGATGAGCAACAAGTAAGTGTGTGGGGGGTGTGCTCCCGCCCTCGTGCAGAGCTGTCGCTGGCAGCTCTGCCGCCTGCACTGGTGCTGTGCGCTGCCCATCCTAAACGGCACTGGGTCGGACAATGAAAAGGCAGCGCAGTCGGGGTGAGACATAGGTGGGAGATGAGGGAAGCTCGTGCTTTTAAGAGCACGAAGGTTGTCTTGGTTTCTGTAGTGCTGCTGTGCTGCCAAATGTGGTCTGTGGCAGAGCTGATGGCGGGAGGGCACAGAGGGTGTCCCGGGGTTGGCAAACTCATACCTTTGGCAAAAATATGACTTTATGGCAGTGGGGAACAGCACTGTACATGCTTCATTTTGATGAAATAATGACCAGAACTGTGGGCTTTGCACCTGCTAGACACGGGCCTGAATCTACTTGGAGCACTTTCTTTCACAGCAAAGTAATGGGTAATAATTAACATGATTACAGGCTACCTCTTACTGACTCTTCGTTGGCAAGAAAGCAAGTGGCGGGGGCGAGGCGGTCTGGTGGCGAGCCCCCACTTCAGGCAGGAGCGGGTCAGGCTTGGTGTGGGGCTGGGAGGCGTGTGGTTCCGCTCTTGTGTGGTGATGCTTCCGTGCTCCGCTGCGTCCGAGCGTGGCTGGCTGGCTCTGGAGTGCTTGGACAGCAGCCTTGGGCGCTGCCAGGGGTGCTGGAGCTGAGCTTGATGCACCGTCTGTTTCCAACAGGTCATACTGTGCGGAGATTGCGCACAATGTGTCTTCCAAGAACAGGAAGATCATCGTGGAGAGAGCCGCTCAGCTCGCCATCAAGATCACCAATCCCAACGCCAGACTGCGCAGCGAGGAGAATGAATAAACTGGCTGCTACATCTGAGATGTATTTAATAAAGTGTAAAAACAAACTCTGGTGGGTGTTTTGAATGGCCAAAGGGAAGGACTGGCTTGGCGCCTGCCTGCGGTGGGGCAGCTGCCTGCTGCTGGGGGTCAGCACGGCCTGAGACCGCTCTCCGCGGGGGGGTGCTGGCAGCAGCGCCCTTGCTCGTGGTGGTGATTTGAGATGTCACTGTGAAGGCTAACAAGTTCAGGAGTGCACGCAGCTTCACAAGTACGTTTTTATTTTTTATACCACTCAAAGAGAATGGATGTTCTTTCACACAGCACTATAAATACTTTTCACATCAACCACGCTGTCAAAAAAGGAAAAATGAAAGGTCATTATAGCTCCATGGCTACAAGAAGTGTGTCACGGTGGCCTTGTTCTCTCATTTGCTGTTACATTCTCTCTGTTAAGGCTTTTTTTTCCCTGTGTAAAGCAGGATTTCAACTCAACAGCCACTATTGTGTAAGTTTTCAAATGACAGAAGGGTTACTGGGGGCTGCCTGTGTGTTTGCACCTCTGGCTAGTGACTGTCCCCTCTCCTCCCTCTGTGACACTACAGTATGAGGACCAGCTTTCCTGCACGTCTGCTGCTGTGCTGTGCCCAGTGTTCAGCGTAGGTTGGTGCCTTCGTAGCCGGTCGCTCAACACGAACGCCAAGCTGCGCAAGGCGGGAGAGAGAACCCGGTGTTTAACACGAAGAAAAGCTCAGTGTAACGTTTGTTACTGTAACACAAGTAATCGTGGCTTTTGGAAGGCGGCTGGTTGGGGGTATGTCACAGACAAAACCATAAAAATGGAAGTCGGGCAAGATAGCTCCGTATCGCCCAAACTGCAGAAACACCGAACTGTCGGTGCCCATTGTGCGATCTGAGCCCCGGGTGGGAGTCGGGGTAACAAACCACCCCTGTGCAGCTCCTGCAGCTCGGCTGATGAGTCTCCTCTTTTTGTAACAGGGCCTATGGTTATGATGCTCATCGCTAATTAAAGACATGACTTCTAATTTTTAGCCATGTTATTTAGTGAAACAATATAAATACATTCTTTAGGCAATTTGGGATAGAAAGTGCATGTGCAGTGGTTAAAAAAAAAAGTTTTAAACTATTTTTCTTTGTACTGAAGTAAGGAAATATTTCAGGAAGGAGTTTCCATTTTTCATGGAACCACACTCAATTTCAATTGCTTTGTACACCCCTTAAAAACTTGCTGAAAAATTAGAATACTTGTCTTCTAACCCCTCCCCTACATAAGGACACATTTCCCTGATCTCACACATCTGGTTAGGAT